CACTCACCCACTCACCCACCCACCCACTCACCCACCCACCCACTCACCCACCCACCCACACACCCACTTACCCACCCACCCACCCACTCACCCACCCACTCACCCACCCACTAACTCACCCACCCACTAACTCACCCACCCACCCACTCACCCACCCACCCACCCACTCACCCACCCACCCACTCACCCACCCACCCACCCACTCACTCACCCACCCACCCACTCACTCACTCACCCACCCACCCACTCACCCACCCACCCACCCACTCACCCACCCACCCACTCACCCACCCACCCACCCACTCACTCACCCACCCACTCACTCACCCACTCACTCACCCACCCACCCACCCACTCACCCACCCACCCACCCACTCACCCACTCACTCACCCACCCACTCACCCACCCACTCACCCACCCACTCACTCACCCACCCACCCACTCACTCACCCACCCACCCACCCACCCACTCACCCACCCACCCACTCACCCACCCACCCACCCACTCACCCACCCACCCACTCACCCACTCACTCACCCACCCACTCACCCACCCACTCACCCACCCACCCACCCACTCACCCACCCACCCACCCACTCACCCACCCACCCACTCACTCACCCACCCACCCACTCACCCACCCACCCACTCACCCACCCACCCACTCACCCACCCACCCACCCACTCACCCACCCACCTACTCACCCACCCACTCACCCACCCACCCACCCACTCACCCACCCACCCACCCACTCACCCACCCACCCACCCACTCACCCACCCACTCACCCACTCACCCACCTACTCACCCACCCACTCACAATGTCAACAACGTCACTTCTTCGACAGCAGGAATGTAGGCGGTGACGTAGGCGGGGCACCGCCCTCTGATTGGTCGGATTCCAGAAGGCGACGTCGACGAGACGCCCACGCAGAGACACGGACAGCAGCGGGACTCCCAGCAGGGCTGGGGGGGGGGGGGTCACGTGGGGGGGGGGGGGTCACGTGGGTGGGGAGGGGGACACGGGGAGAGTGAGTGGCTGAGTGAATGAGTGGGTGAGTGAGTGAGTGGCTGAGTGAGTGAGTGGGTGAGTGGCTGAGTGAGTGGCTGAGTGAGTGAGTGGGTGAGTGAGTGAGTGAGTGGCTGAGTGAGTGAGTGAGTGGCTGAGTGAGTGAGTGGATGAGTGAGTGAGTGACTGAGTGAGTGGCTGAGTGAGTGGCTGAGTGAGTGGATGAGTGAGTGGGTGAGTGACTGAGTGAGTGGCTGAGTGAGTGGCTGAGTGAGTGAGTGGCTGAGTGAATGAGTGAGTGACTGAGTGAGTGAGTGGCTGAGTGAGTGAGTGAGTGGCTGAGTGAGTGAGTGGCTGAGTGAGTGAGTGGATGAGTGAGTGAGTGACTGAGTGAGTGGCTGAGTGAGTGGCTGAGTGAGTGGCTGAGTGAGTGGATGAGTGAGTGGATGAGTGAGTGGATGAGTGAGTGAGTGAGTGAATGAGTGAGTGACTGAGTGGCTGAGTGAGTGGCTGAGTGAGTGAGTGGGTGAGTGAGTGAGTGAGTGGCTGAGTGAGTGAGTGGCTGAGTGAGTGAGTGGATGAGTGAGTGAGTGAGTGACTGAGTGAGTGGCTGAGTGAGTGGCTGAGTGAGTGGATGAGTGAGTGGGTGAGTGACTGAGTGAGTGGCTGAGTGAGTGGCTGAGTGAGTGAGTGGCTGAGTGAATGAGTGAGTGACTGAGTGAGTGGCTGAGTGAGTGAGTGGGTGAGCGAGTGGGTGAGTGAGTGGCTGAGTGACTGAGCGAGTGGCTTAGTGACTGAGTGGGTGAGTGAGTGACTGAGTGAGTGGCTGACTGAATGAGTGAGTGGCTGAGCGAGTGGCTTAGTGACTGAGTGAGTGACTGAGTAAGTGACTGAGTGAGTGGCTGAGTGACTGAGCGAGTGGCTTAGTGACTGAGTGACTGAGTGAGGGACTGAGTAAGTGACTGAGTGACTGAGTGAGCGGCTGAGTGACTGAGCGAGTGGCTTAGTGACTGAGTGAGTGACTGAGTGAGTGACTGAGTGAGTGGCTGAGCGAGTGGCTGAGTGACTGAGCGAGTGGCTTAGTGACTGAGTGAGTGACTGAGTGAGTGAGTGACTGAGTAAGTGACTGAGTGAGTGGCTGAGTGACTGAGCGAGTGGCTTAGTGACTGAGTGACTGAGTGAGTGAGTGACTGAGTAAGTGACTGAGTGACTGAGTGAGTGACTGAGTGAGTGGCTGAGCGAGTGGCTGAGTGACTGAGCGAGTGGCTTAGTGACTGAGTGAGTGACTGAGTGAGTGAGTGACTGAGTAAGTGACTGAGTGAGTGGCTGAGTGACTGAGCGAGTGGCTTAGTGACTGAGTGACTGAGTGAGTGAGTGACTGAGTAAGTGACTGAGTGACTGAGTGAGCGGCTGAGTGGCTGAGTGAGCGAGTGGCTGAGTGAGCGAGTGGCTGAGTGACTGAGTGAGTGAGTGAGCGGCTGAGTGAGCGAGTGTCTGTGTGAGGGAGCGGGTGACTGACTGAGCGAGCGAGTGACTGAGTAAGTGACTGAGTGAGTGGCTGAGTGACTGAGCGAGTGGCTGAGTGACTGAGCGAGTGACTGAGCGAGCGGGTGACTGAGTGACTGAGTGAGTGAGTGGCTGAGTGACTGAGCAAGCGGGTGAGTGACTGAGCGAGCGAGTGACTGAGTGAGTGCCTGAGTGCCTGAGTGACTGAGCGAGCGGGTGAGTGAGTGACTGAGCAAGCGGGTGAGTGACTGAGTGAGTGCCTGAGTGGCTGAGCGACTGAGCGAGCGAGTGGGTGACTGTGTCAGTGAGTGGCTGAGTGACTAAGTGAGCGAGTGGCTGAGCGAGCGGGTGACTGAGTGGCTGAGTGACTGAGCGAGCGAGCGGGTGACTGTGTCAGCGAGTGGCTGAGTGACTGAGTGAGCGAGTGGCTGAGCGAGCGGGTGACTGTGTCAGTGAGTGGCTGAGTGACTGAGTGAGCGAGTGGCTGAGCGAGCGAGTGACTGAGTGAGCGAGTGGCTGAGCGAGCGGGTGACTGAGTGACTGAGCGAGCGGGTGACTGAGCGAGTGACTGAGCGAGTGGCTGAGTGACTGAGTGAGCGGGTGACTGAGTGGCTGAGTGACTGAGCGAGCGAGCGGGTGACTGAGCGAGCGGGTGACTGTGTCAGTGAGTGGCTGAGCGACTGAGCGAGCGGCTGAGTGACTGAGCGAGCGAGTGACTGAGCGAGCGAGCGGGTGACTGAGCAACTGAGTGACTGAGCGAGCGAGTGGCTGAGCGAGCGGGTGACTGTGTCAGTGAGTGGCTGAGTGACTGAGTGAGCGAGTGGCTGAGCGAGCGAGTGACTGAGTGAGCGAGTGGCTGAGCGAGCGGGTGACTGAGTGACTGAGCGAGCGGGTGACTGAGCGAGTGACTGAGCGAGTGGCTGAGTGACTGAGTGAGCGGGTGACTGAGTGGCTGAGTGACTGAGCGAGCGAGCGGGTGACTGAGCGAGCGGGTGACTGTGTCAGTGAGTGGCTGAGCGACTGAGCGAGCGGCTGAGTGACTGAGCGAGCGAGTGACTGAGCGAGCGAGCGGGTGACTGAGCAACTGAGTGACTGAGCGAGCGGGTGACTGTGTCAGCGAGTGGCTGAGTGACTGAGTGAGCGAGTGGCTGAGCGAGCGGGTGACTGAGTGAGCGAGTGACTGAGTGGCTGAGTGACTGAGCGAGCGGGTGACTGTGTCAGTGAGTGGCTGAGTGGCTGAGCGAGCGGCTGAGTGACTGAGTGAGTGACTGAGTGAGTGACTGAGTGACTGAGCGAGCGGGTGACTGAGTGGCTGAGTGAGTGACTGAGTGAGTGACTGAGCGAGTGCCTGAGCGACTTAGCGAGCGGGTGACTGTGTCAGCGAGCGGCTGAGTGACTGTGCGAGTCACTCACTGTCTCTCTGAGCGTCGAAGGGCCTCTGAATCTCCTTCCAAGGCGACACCGAAGAGGCGGCGGTGGTGGTGGCGGTGGTGGTGGTGGTGGCGTTGAAGGTGGTGGTGGCGTTGAGGGTGGTGGTGGCATTGAGGGTGGTGGTGGCATTGAGGGTGGTGGTGGCATTGAGGGTGGTGGCGTTGAGGGTGGTGGTGGCCTTGTCCACCGCCCTGACCCTCACGTGGAAGGAACCGAACAGCAGGTGCTGTGTGACGTCGCAACACAGCACCTGCTGTTCCTCCCAGCGGGACGACGAGGTGGAGGTGGTGGTGGTGGTGGTGATTGGGGTGGTGGTGGTGGTGGTGATTGGGGTGGTGGAGGTGGTGGTGGTGGTGGTAGTGGTAGTGGTGGGTGAGTTGGTGGGTGAGTTGGTGGGTGAGTTGGTTGTTGAGTTGGTGGGCGAGTTGGGGGGTGAGTTGGTGAGTGAATTGTTGGGTGAGTTGGTGGGTGAGTGGCTGGGTGAGTTGATGGGTGAGTTGTTGGGTGAGTTCGTGGGTGAGTTGGTGTGCGAGTTGGTGAGTGAGTTGGTGGGTGAGTTGGTGGGTGAGTTGGTGGGTGAGTTGGCGGGTGAGTTGGTGGGTGAGTTGGGGGGTGAGTTGGTTGTTGAGTTGGTGGGTGAGTTGGTGAGTGAGTTGGTGAGTGAGTTGGTGAGTGAGTTGGTGTGTGAGTTGGTTGGTGAGTTGGTGAGTAAATTTTTGGGTGAGTTGGTGTGTGAGTTGATGAGTGAGTTGATGTGTGAGTTGGTTGTTGAATTGGTGGGCGAGTTGGAGGGTGAGTTGGTGTGCGAGTTGGTGTGCGAGTTGGTGGGTGAGTTGGTGTGTGAGTTGGTGTGTGAGTTGGTTGTTGAGTTGGTGGGCGAGTTGGTGAGTGAGTTGGTGGGCAAATGGATGAGTGAGTTGGTGAGTGAATTGGTGGGTGAGTTGGTGAGTGAGTTGGTGGGCGAGTTGGTTGTTGAGTTGGCGGGTGAGTTGGTGAGTGAATTGGTGGGTGAGTTGGTGGGCGAGTTGGTGGGTGAGTTGGTTGTTGAGTTGGTGGGTGAGTTGGTTTTTGAGTTGGTGGGTGAGTTGGCGGGTGAGTTGTTGGGTGAGTTGGTAGGTGGAGGGAAGGGTGATGGTGATGAGCAAGCATTTGGAGAGGGACTACTCAAATGGTGGACTTGGTGATTTTGGCGGTGGTGTTGGTGGTGATGTTGGTGGTGATGTTGGTGGTGATGTTGGTGGTGATGTCTGATGAGGGAGCAGTGTTTGATGTCTCTCCACGGTGCTCCTGTGTAGACCCTGAGGCAGAGACAAAGACTCACCTAGACACTCACCCAGACACTCACCCAGACACTCACCCAGACACTCGCCCGGACACTCGCCCAGACACTCGCTCAGTCACTCACCCAGACACTCACCAAGACATTCACTCAGACACTCACCTAGACACTCACCCAGACACTCACCCAGACACTCACCCAGACACTCACCCAGACACCGAGATACTCACCCAGACACTCACCCAGACACTCACCCACACTCACCCAGACACTCACCCAGACACTCACCCAGACACTCACCCAGACAATTACCCAGACACTCACCCAGACACTCACCCAGACACTCACCAGGCACTCACCAAGACACTCACCAGGACACTCACCCAGACACTCACCCAGACACTCACCCAGACACTCACCAAGACACTCACCAGGACACTCACCAAGACACTCACCCAGACACTCACCCAGAGACTCACCCAGAGACTCACCCAGACACTCACCCAGACACTCACCCAGACACTCACCAAGACACTCACCCAGTCACTCACCCAGACACTCACCCAGTCACTCACCCAGACACTCACCCAGACACTCACCCAGACACTCACCCAGACACTCACCCAGACACTCACCCAGTCACTCACCAAGACACTCACCCAGACACTCACCAGTCACTCACCAAGACACTCACCTAGACACTCACCCAGACACTCACCCAGACACTCACCCGGACACTCACCCGGACACTCACCCGGACACTCACCCAGACACTCGCTCAGTCACTCACCCAGACACTCACCCAGACACTCACCTAGACACTCACCCAGACACTCACCCAGACACTCACCCAGACACTCACCCAGACACTCACCCAGACACTCACCCAGACACTCACCCAGACACTCACCCAGACACTCACCTAGACACTCACCCAGACACTCACCCAGACACTCACCCAGACACTCACCAAGACACTCACCAGGACACTCACCAAGACACTCACCCAGACACTCACCCAGAGACTCACCCAGAGACTCACCCAGACACTCACCCAGACACTCACCCAGACACTCACCAAGACACTCACCCAGTCACTCACCCAGACACTCACCCAGTCACTCACCCAGACACTCACCCAGACACTCACCCAGACACTCACCCAGACACTCACCCAGACACTCACCCAGTCACTCACCAAGACACTCACCCAGACACTCACCAGGCACTCACCAAGACACTCACCTAGACACTCACCCAGACACTCACCCAGACACTCACCCGGACACTCACCCGGACACTCACCCGGACACTCACCCAGACACTCGCTCAGTCACTCACCCAGACACTCACCCAGACACTCACCCAGACACTCACCCAGACACTCACCCAGACACTCACCCAGACACTCACCCAGACACTCACCCAGACACTCACCCAGACACTCACCTAGACACTCACCCAGACACTCACCCAGACACTCACCCAGACACTCACTCAGACACTCACCCAGACACTCACCCAGACACTCACCCAGTCACTCACCCAGACACTCACTAAGACACTAACCCAGACACTCACCCAGACACTCACCCAGACACTCACCAAGACACTCACCCGGACACTCACCCAGACACTCGCTCAGTCACTCGCTCAGTCACTCACCCAGACACTCACCCAGACACTCACCAGACACTCACCCAGACACTCACCCAGACACTCACCCAGACACTCACCCAGACACTCACCTAGACACTCGCTCAGTCACTCACCCAGACACTCACCTAAACACTCACCCAGACACTCACCTAGACACTCACCTAGACACTCACCCAGACACTCACCCAGACACTCACCTAGACACTCATCCAGTCACTCACTCAGACACTCACCAAGACACTCACCCAGACACTCACCCAGACACTCACCCAGACACTCACCCAGACACTCACCTAGACACTCACCCAGACACTCACCTAGACACTCACCCAGACACTCACCAGGCACTCACCAAGACACTCACCAAGACACTCACCCAGACACTCACGCAGACACTCACCTAGACACTCACCCAGACACCGAGACACTCACCCAGTAACTCACCCAGACACTCACCCAGACACTCACCCAGACACTCACCCAGACACTCACCCAGACACTCACCCAGACACTCACCCACTCACTCACCCAGACACTCACCAAGACACTCACCCAGACACTCACCCAGACACTCACCCAGACACTCACCCAGACACTCACCTAGAGACTCACCCAGACACTCACCCAGACACTCACCCAGACACTGACCCAGACACTCACCCAGACACTCACCCAGACACTCACCCAGACACTCAGCCAGACATTCACCCAGACACTCACCAGACACTCACCCAGACACTCACCAGACACTCACCTAGACACTCACCCACACACTCACCCAGACACTCACCCAGACACCCAGACACTCACCCAAACACTCACCCAGACACTCACCAAGACACTCACTCACACACTCACCAAGACACTCACCTAGACACTCACCCAGACACTCACCCAGACACTCACCCAGACACTCACCCAGACACTCACCCAGACACTCACCCAGACACCGAGACACTCACCCAGTCACTCACGCAGACACTCACCCAGTCACTCACCCAGACACTCACCCAGTCACTCACCCAGACACTCACCCAGACACTCACCCAGACACTCACCCAGACACCGAGACACTCACCCAGTCACTCACACAGACACTCACCCAGACACTCACCCAGACACTCACCCAGACACCCAGACACCCAGACACCCAGACACTCACCCAGACACCCAGACACTCACCCAGACACTCACCCACTCACTCACCCAGTCACTCACCCAGACACTCACCCAGACACTCACCCAGACACTCACCCAGACACTCACCCAGACACTCACCCAGTCACTCACCCAGACACTCACCCAGACACCCACCCAGACACCCACCCAGACACTCACCCAGACACTCACCCAGACACTCACCCAGACACTCACCCAGTCACTCACCCAGAGACTCACCCAGTCACTCACCCAGACACTCACCCAGACACTCACCCAGACACTCACCAGACACTCACCCAGACACTCACCCAGACACTCACCCAGACACTCACCCAGACAATCACCCAGACACTCACCCAGGCACTCACCAAGACACTCACCCAGACACTCACCAAGACACTCACCAGACACTGACCCAGACACTCACCCAGACACTCACCCAGACACTCACCCACTCACTCACCCAGTCACTCACCCAGACACTCACCCAGACACTCACCCAGACACTCACCCAGACACTCACCAAGACACTCACCCAGACACTCACCCAGACACTCACCCAGACACTCACCCAGAGACTCACCCAGACACTCACCCACTCACTCACCCAGTCACTCACCCAGACACTCACCAAGACACTCACCCAGACACTCACCCAGTCACTCACCCAGACACTCACCAAGACACTCACCCAGACACTCACCCAGACACTCACCCAGGCACTCACCCAGACACTCACCCAGACACTCACCCAGACACTCACCCACTCACTCACCCAGTCACTCACCCAGACACTCACCCAGGCACTCACCCAGACACTCACCCAGACACTCACCCAGACAATCACCCAGGCACTCACCCAGACACTCACCCAGACACTCACCCAGACACTCACGCAGAGACTCACCCAGACACTCACCCAGACACTCACCCAGACACTCACCTAGACACTCACCCAGACACTCACCCAGACACTCACCCAGACACTCACCCAGACACTCACCCAGACACTCACCCAGACACTCACCCAGACACTCACCCAGACACTCACCCAGACACTCACCCAGACACTCACCCAGACACTCACCCAGACACTCACCCACACACTCACTCAGACACTCACCCAGACACTCACCCAGACACTCACCCAGACACGCACCCAGACACTCACCCAGACACTCACTAACGAGGCCAAAGACCCACAGAGATACCATCACCATCATCACCACCATCATCACCACCATCACCACCACCACCATCACCACCACCATCACAATCATCACCACCACCATCACCACCACCATCACCACCGCCATCACCACCACCATCACCACCATCACCACCATCACCATCATCACCATCATCACCATCATCACCACCACCATCACCACCATCACCACCACCATCACCACAGCCATCATCACCATCACCACCATCACCACCGCCATCACCACCACCATCATCACCACCATCATCACCACCACCATCATCACCACCACCATTATCACCACCACCACCACCATCACCACCATCACCATCACCACCATCACCACCATCACCACCATCACCTTCACCACCACCACCATCATCACCATCATCACCACCACCATCATCACCACCATCACAACCTTCACCATCATCACCATTATCACCACCATCACCACCACCATCATCACCATCACCACCACCATCACCACCATCACCACCGCCATCATCATCACCACCATCATCACCACCTTCACCACCTTCACCACCATCACCACCATTACCACCACCATCACCACCACCACCATCATCACCATCATCACCACCACCAATCACCATCATCACCACCATCATCACCATCATCACCACCATCATCACCATCACCACGTGGACGTTGATAGATGATGAAAGAGAGAGACACAGACCTCCTGTAGACCAGGCGAGGTAGTCATGATGATGATGATGAGAGACACAGACCTCCTGTATACCAGGCGAGGTAGTCAACATCTCCATAGCCACCGTGATGATGATGATGATGATGAGAGACACAGACCTCCTGTATACCCAGCGAGGTAGTCAATATCTCATAGCCACCATGATGATGATGATGAGAGAGAGACACAGACCTCCTGTAGACCAGGTGAGGTAGTCAACATCTCATAGCCACCGTGATGATGATGCTGATGATGAGAGAGAGACACAGAACTCCTGTAGACCAGGTGAGGTAGTCAACATCTCATAGCCACCGTGATGATAATGATGATGATGAGAGACACAGACCTCCTGTAGACCAGGTGAGGTAGTCAACATCTCATAGCCACCGTGATGATGATGATGATGAGAGAGAGACACACAGACCTCCTGTAGACCAGGCGAGGTAGTGAACATCTCATAGCCACCGTGATGATGATGATGAGAGACACAGACCTCCTGTACACAAGGCGAGGTAGTCAACATCTCATAGCCACCGTGATGATGATGATGATGATGAGACACAGACCTCCTGTATACCAGGCGAGGTAGTCAACATCTCATAGCCACCGTGATGATGATGATGAGAGAGACACAGACCTCCTGTAGACCAGGCGAGGTAGTCAACATCTCATAGCCACCGTGATGATGATGCTGATGAGAGACACAGACCTCCTGTGTGAATCTTGCTCTGAAGCTCACTCGGGCAGACGCTGGGACTGGGTGAGCTGCTTTGTCCAGGCTGGCAAGGGCAGGTGGCGGGGTTTCTGTGTCACCCACTCACTCACCCACCCACTCACTCAATTACTCACCCACCCACTCACCTACTCACCAACTCACTCACCCACTCACCCACCCACTCACCCACTTACTCACCCACTCACCAACTCACCCACTCACCCACTCACCCACTTACTCACTCACCCACTCACTCACCCACCCACTCACCCACCCACTCACTCACCCACCCACTCACTCACCCACTCACTCACTCACTCACCCACTCACTCACCCACCCACTCACCCACCCACCCACTCACCCACCCACCCACCCACTCACCCACTCACTCACCCACCCACTCACCCACTCACTCGCTCACCCACCCACCCACCCACTCACTCACTCACCCACCCACTCACTCACCCACTCACTCACTCACCCACTCACTCACTCACCCACTCACTCACTCACCCACCCACCCACTCACCCACTCACCCACCCACCCACTCACTCACCTACTCACCCACTCACCCACTCACTCACTCACCCACCCACTCACCTACTCACCAACTCACCCACCCACCTACTTACTCACTCACTCATCAACTCACTCACCCACCCATGCACGGGTGAGTGAGTGAGTGGGTGAGTGGGAGAGTGGGTGAGTGAGTGAGTGGGTGAGTGAGTGAGTGGGTGAGTGGGTGAGTGGGTGAGTGGGAGAGTGAGTGAGTGGGTGAGTGAGTGAGTGGGAGAGTGAGTGAGTGAGTGGGTGAGTGGGTGAGTGAGTGGGTGGGTGAGTGAGTGAGTGGGTGAGTGAGTGAGTGGGTGAGTGAGTGGGTGAGTGAGTGAGTGGGTGAGTGAGTGGCTGAGTGAGTGAGTGGGTGAGTGAGTGAGTGGGTGAGTGAGTGGGTGAGTGAGTGGCTGAGTGAGTGAGTGGGTGAGTGAGTGGCTGAGTGAGTGAGTGGGTGAGTGAGTGAGTGAGTTTGTGGGCGAGAGACTTCACGCCAAGCGGACCTAGGTGTGGCACTCACCCGCGGTACTGGACGGCGAACGACGTTCCGGGCGGTGTACCTGCCCCAGGAGTCCAGTGGACTTCATGGAAGAAGTTCACAGACTGCACCCACACCTCGCTGGGCATTGGCAGGGTCTCTACAACACGCACACACACAGATTCGTGAATCCATCTGTGTGGAGTATACATACACGTGGATTCATTAATGCGTCTCACTCGCTCATCCACTCACTCATTCACTCACTCACCCGCTCACCAACTCACTCACTCACCCGCTCACCAACTCACTCACTCACCCACTCACTCACTCACCCGCTCACCAACTCACTCACTCACCCACTCACTCACTCACCAACTCACCAACTCACTCACCTACTCACCCATTCACTCACACACTCACTCACTCACCCACCCACTCATTCACCCACCCACTCACTCACCCACTCACCCACTCACTCACCCACTCACTCACTCACCCACCCACTCACTCACCCACTCACCCACTCACTCACTCACCCACTCACCCACTCACCCACCCACTCACTCACCCACTCACTCACTCACCCACTCACCCACTCACTCACCCACCCACTCACCCACTCACCCACCCACCCACTCACCCACTCACTCACCCACTCACTCACCCACTCACTCACCCACTCACTCACTCACCCACTCACCCACTCACTCACCCACTCACTCACTCACCCACTCACTCACCCACTCACCCACTCACCCACCCACCCACTCACCCACCCACTCACCCACTCACTCACCCACCTACTCACCCACTCACTCACCCACTCATCCACTCACTCACCCACTCACTCACCCACTCACTCACCCACTCACCCACCCACTCACTCACCCACTCACTCACCCACCCACTCACCCACTCACTCACCCACTCACCCACCCACCCACCCACTCACCCACCCACTCACACACTCACTCACTCACCCACTCACTCACCCACTCACTCACTCACCCACTCACCCACTCACCCACCCACTCACCCACTCACCCACTCACTCACCCACCCACTCACCCACCCACTCACTCACCCACCCACCCACTCACCCACTCACCACACCTCACCACTCACCTTGACCCAGGCCGTCAGCGCTCCCACCAGCCACGATAACGAGGAGGAGGAGGAGGTGGACGAGGTGGAGGTGGTGTGGGTGGTGGTGTGGGTGGTGGTGTGGGTGGTGTGGGTGGTGTGGGTGGTGGTGTGGGTGGTGGTGGTGTGGATACTGGAGGTGGTGGGGGGGGTGGTGGGTGGAGAGTGACCCCCTCATGAAAGACTCCACCCCCCACTCAGATCCACCGGTTAAGACACACACACACACAGACAGACACAGACACACACACAGACACACACACACAGACACACACACAGACACACACACACAGACACACACAGAGACTCACACACACAGACACACACACAGACAGACACAGACACACACACAGACACACACAGACACACACAGACACACACACACAGACACACACACACAGACACACACAGACACACACACACAGACACACACAGACACACACACAGACACACACACAGTGACACCACACACAGACACACACACAGACACAGACACACACAGACACACACTCACACAGACACACACACAGACACACACACAGTCAAATATACACTGTCTCTGTCTGTGTCTCTCTGTGTCTCTCTGTGTCTCTGTGTCTATCTGTCTCTCTGTGTCTCTCTGTGTCTCTGTGTCTATCTGTCTCTCTGTGTCTCTCTGTGTCTCTGTGTCTATCTGTGTCTCTCTGTCTCTCTCTGTCTCTGTGTCTCTGTCTGTCCCTCTGTCTCTGTGTCTCTCTGTGTCTCTGTGTCTTTCACTGTCTCTCTGTCTCTGTGTCTCTCTCTGTCTCTCTGTGTCTCTCTCTGTCTGTGTCTCTCTGTGTCTCTCTGTACTCTCTGTGTCTCTCTATCTGTCTGTCTCTCTCTGTCGCTCTGTGTCTCTGTCTCTCTGTGTCTCTCTGTCTCTGTCTCTCTGTGTCTCTCTGTGTCTCCCTGTTTCTCTCTCTGTCTCTCTGTGTCTCCCTGTCTCTCGCTGTCTCTCTCTGTCTCTGTCTCTCACTCTCTCTGTGTCTCTGTGTCTCTCTCTGTCTCTCTCTGTGTCTCTGTGTCTCTCTCTGTCTCTCTCTGTGTCTCTGTCTCTCTGTGTCTCTCTCTGTCTCTGTCTCTCTCTGTGTCTCTGTCTCTCTCTGTGTCTCTCTGTGTCTCTCTCTGTCTGTGTCTCTGTGTCTCTCTCTGTGTCTCTCTCTGTCTCTCTCTGTGTCTCTGTCTCTCTGTGTCTCTGTCTCTCTGTGTCTCTCTGTCTCTCTGTGTCTCTCTGTCTCTCTCTGTGTCTCTCTCTGTGTCTCTCTCTGTGTGTCTCTCTCTCTGTCTCTCTCTCTGTCTCTCTCTGTCTCTGTGTCTCTCTCTGTCTCTGTGTCTCTGTGTTTCTCTGTGTCTCTGTGTCTCTGTCTCTGTGTCTCTGTGTCTCTCTCTGTCTCTCTGTCTCTGTGTCTCTCTCTCTCTATATCTCTGTCTCTATGTCTATGTCTCTCTGTGTCTCTCTGTCTCTGTCTCCCCCCCCACTCGCTGGCAAGGCGATGAGGAAGGTGAGGCGACTGGGGCGGAGCTTCCGCGGATTTCTTTTCTGTCAACGCACCTGCCGCGTGACGTCATCCAGCACCACTTGGTAGGCGGAGCTTCCGCGAATTTCTTTTCTGTCAACGCACCTGCCGCGTGACGTCATCCAGCACCATTTGGTGGGCGGAGCTTCCGCGTATTTCTTTTCTGTCAAGACACCTGCCGCGTGACGTCATCCAGCACCACTTGGTGGGCGGAGCTTCCGCGTATTTCTTTTCTGTCAAGACACCTGCTGCGTGACGTCATCCAGCACCACTTGGTGGGCGGAGCCTCCGCGAATTTCTTTTCTGTCAACGCACCTGCCGCGTGACGTCATCCAGCTCCACTTGGTGGGCGCAGCTTCCGCGTATTTCTTTTCTGTCAACGCACCTGCCGCGTGACGTCATCCAGCACCACTTGGTGGGCGGAGCTTCCGCGTATTTCTTTTCTGTCAACGCACCTGCCGCGTGACGTCATCCAGCTCCACTTGGTGGGCGGAGCTTCCGCGAATTTCTTTCCTGTCAAGACACCTTCCGCGTGACGTCATCCAGCTCCAATTGGTGGGTGGAGCTTCCGCGAATTTCTTTTCTGTCAACGCACCTGCCGCGTGACGTCATCCAGCTCCACTTGGTGGGCGGAGCTTCCGCGAATTTCTTTCCTGTCAAGACACCTTCCGCGTGACGTCATCCAGCTCCACTTGGTGGTTGGAGCTTCCGCGAATTTCTTTTCTGTCAACGCACCTGCCGCGTGACGTCATCCAGCACCACTTGACGGGCGGAGCTTCCGCGAATTTCTTTTCTGTCAACGCACCTGCCGCGTGACGTCATCCAGCACCACTTGACGGGTGGAGCTTCCGCGAATTTCTTTTCTGTCAACGCACCTGCCGCGTGACGTCATCCAGCTCCACTTGGTGGGCGGAGCTTCCGCGAATTTCTTTCCTGTCAAGACACCTTCCGCGTGACGTCATCCAGCTCCACTTGGTGGGTGGAGCTTCCACGAATTTCTTTTCTGTCAACGCACCTGCCGCGTGACGTCATCCAGCACCACTTGACGGGCGGAGCTTCCGCGAATTTCTTTTCTGTCAACGCACCTGCCGCGTGACGTCATCCAGCACCACTTGACGGGCGGAGCTTCCGCGTATTTCTTTTCTGTCAACGCACCTGCCGCGTGACGTCATCCAGCTCCACTTGGTGGGCGGAGCTTCCGCGTATTTCTTTTCTGTCAACACACCTGCCGCGTGACGTCATCCAGCACCACTTGGTGGGCGGAGCTTCCGCGAATTTCTTTGATGTTGTGATCGTGCCTCGTGACGTCATCGCACCGCACCTCCCAATCCAACTGCGCGTGGGAGGGAACCGGCGTGACGTCACCGCGCAAGCAGGGGGGGGTGACGGCATGACGTCACCGCGCAATGGCGGCGGGAGGGGTGGGAGCGACGTGACGTCACTTTCGTTTTGTTCGTAAAGACAAGGTCCGCGCCAGATGACGTCACGTCACCCGGCGCAGGTAAAAAAATTGGCGACAAACTTCGCTCGGTTCCGGGCAATTTAACTCTCTCCTGAACTCTCCCTCACCCTGAACTCTCCCTACCCTGAACTCTCCCTGAACTCTCCCCTACCCTGAACTCTCTCCCCACCCTGAACTCTCCCCCACCCTGAACTCTCCCCCACCCTGAACTCTCCCCCACCCTGAACTCTCCCTGAACTCTCCCTACCCTGAACTCTCCCCACCCTGAACTCTCCCCCACCCTGAACTCTCCCCCACCCTGAACTCTCCCTGAACTCTCCCTACCCTGAACTCTCCCCACCCTGAACTCTCCCCACTAAACTCTCCCCCACCCTGAACTCTCCCCCACCCTGAACTCTCCCCACCCTGAACTCTCCCCTACCCTGAACTCTCCCTTACCCTGAACTCTCCCCTACCCTGAACTCTCCCCACCCTGAACTCTCCCCACCCTGAACTCTCCCCACTAAACTCTCCCCCACCCTGAACTCTCCCCTACCCTGAACTCTCCCCACCCTGAACTCTCCCCCACCCTGAACTCTCCCCACCCTGAACTCTCCCCACCCTGAACTCTCCCCACCCTGAACTCTCCCCACCCTGAACTCTCCCCCACCCTGAACTCTCCCTGAACTCTCCCCACCCTGAACTCTCCCCACCCTGAACTCTCCCTCACCCTGAACTCTCCCCACCCTGAACTCTCCCTCACCCTGAACTCTCCCCCCCACTGAACTCTCCCCCACCCTGAACTCTCCCCCACCCTGAACTCTCCCCCCCACTGAACTCTCCCCCCCACTGAACTCTCCCCCTACCCTGAACTCTCCCCCACCCTGAACTCTCCCCCACCCTGAACTCTCCCCCACCCTGAACTCTCCCCACTGAACTCTCCCCACCCTGAACTCTCCCCACCCTGAACTCTCCCCACCCTGAACTCTCCCCACCCTGAACTCTCCCCACCCTGAACTCTCCCCCAACCTGAACTCTCCCCCACCCTGAACTCTCCCCCACCCTGAACTCTCCCTCACCCTGAACTCTCCCCACCCTGAACTCTCCCTCACCCTGAACTCTCCCCCCCCACTGAACTCTCCCCCACCCTGAACTCTCCCCCACCCTGAACTCTCCCCCCCACTGAACTCTCCCCCCCACTGAACTCTCCCCCTACCCTGAACTCTCCCTCACCCTGAACTCTCCCCACCCTGAACTCTCCCCCACCCTGAACTCTCCCCCACCCTGAACTCTCCCCACCCTGAACTCTCCCCCACCCTGAACTCTCCCCCCCCTGAACTCTCCCCCAACCTGAACTCTCCCCCACCCTGAACTCTCCCCTACCCTGAACTCTCCCCCACCCTGAACTCTCCCCCACCCTGAACTCTCCCCACCCTGAACTCTCCCCCACCCTGAACTCTCCCCACCCTGAACTCTCCCCACTGAACTCTCCCCCACCCTGAACTCTCCCCCACCCTGAACTCTCCCCCCCCCTGAACTCTCCCCCACCCCGAACTCTCCCCACCCCGAACTCTCCCCCACCCTGAACTCTCCCCCACCCTGAACTCTCCCTCACCCTGAACTCTCCCTGAACTCTCCCCCACCCTGAACTCTCCCCCACCCTGAACTCTCCCTCACCCTGAACTCTCCCCACCCTGAACTCTCCCCCCACCCTGAACTCTCCCCCACCCTGAACTCTCCCTCACCCTGAACTCTCCCCCTTAACTCTCCCCCACCCTGAACTCTCCCCCACCCTGAACTCTCCCCACCCTAAACTCTCCCCACCATAAACTCTCCCCACCCTGAACTCTCCCCACCCTGAACTCTCCCTCACCCTGAACTCTCCCCTAAACTCTCCCCCACCCTGAACTCTCCCCACCCTGAACTCTCCCCTACCCTGAACTCTCCCTCACCCTGAACTCTCCCCCCACCCTGAACTCTCCCCCCCCTGAACTCTCCCCCACCCTGAACTCTCCCCCACCCTGAACTCTCCCCCACCCTGAACTCTCCCTGAACTCTCCCCCACCCTGAACTCTCCCCCACCTGAACT